TTTAACTGTACTAAAGACTCGACGCCACACCACACAGGCAATAAAACAAGAATGAAGGAGTACTGAGATATATTTGAGAAATATTCGGAATGTTGAAAAGTGTATGATATAAGCTCATTACTTAACACGAAGATTGGGTAGCACGGCCTACACAATGGTGATCTGGTGAGGATGATTCACCTTGTAGCGGCAAATACATCCCCGAAATAAATAGATCCGTAAGTTTTCGGCATTGGATGCATGACCGAGAGCCTTCAGCTAGGTGGGTCCATTAAAACTAATGTGGTCAGCATCCAATGTCGAAACCTTACAACGCTATTTATTGTGGGGATTTATTTACTGCTACAGATCACTCCACCTTGGTGTGGTAGTGGAGACCCTAAGACGTGGCCAGCCAGAAGTTTAAACCCAACGAGTTTGTCGTTGGTAAACACTCTTCTGATAGCTTGCTATGCTTAGCAGCGTCTGATCGTCCTTCCTTACTATAAGGGACCATGAAGTATAATATATTTTAAAAAATAATATAGAATGAAATATTTGGTTCCTCGTAAACCTCATCGTTCTTTTTATCGTGTTTTCCAGCCGTCCTGGAAAAGGAAAAAAGAATATGTAAGTGCATGTTGAAATAAACTCGTACGCGCTTTAAGACACAAAGTGGACGAAAAAAAGGAAAATGAACTCATGTACATGTGACAGCGTAAAAGTGATTTTTACGAAATGTTTTTTTAAAAACTTTTTAATATACATATTAGCAAAATAATAACTATATATAAATATAGGCATATAAAAGTTGATTTTTTAATATTGTATATAATACTATGGAAAATCGAGATGAAGCAAAATGTTAACTGATGTCTTACGTACAACAGTCCTTTAAATGTTTTGGAAATCTTACTCATCTTCCAAAACCCGTTGTTTTAAGTTTATTTTCTGATACTGTTGAAGTATCATCGTGCGCGTTGGTTGTCGGATGAGGTATTATAAGTGTAGGAGCCGTGTCGTTCGATTGTACGGAAGGAAAATCAACGTGGATAGGATTTCCTCCTAAACAAGCTGCTTTGAGGTAATCGATGCTGATGCTATCGTTGGTTCCGTTCTTATCGATTATATAGTACTCTGGTTCGCTTTGAAGGACTTTGAAATGTCCTTCGTGTGTTGATTCGAAAGGTCGTCGATGCGAGTCTCGACGAACGAAAACGAGTGTACTATATCGTAAGTCAGGTTGAACGCAAACATTAGTTGATTGCGGTCGAATGCAAACAGGTTTAACTGAACGCGTTGCGTTTGTAAGCCTGTTCGTGTAGGAGGTGAGATCCATGTTCATAAAAGAGGATGAAGGGTCCAGGAATTATCCTGAAAGTCGAAGTGTCGTTCCATAAGCCAGTTTAGACGAAGTGTATCTAATGTCCGCTTTCACTGCATTGCGAATACTTAGTAAGACGAGTGGAAGAGAGTCGGTTCACTGCGAAACGTTTGCAGCTGATAGCGAAGCTTTTAGTTGTCGGTGAAAGCGTTCTACCAACCCGTTTGCTTGTGGGTGGTAGGCAGTCGTTCGGAAGCGAGTGATTCCTAAATGTGTGGTAAGACAACGGAAAAGTTCAGATTCGAACTGACGTCCACGATCTGTAGTGATGGTCGAGGGGCAGCCGAAGTTTGCTACCCATCGTTTGACGAAGGTGCGGGCCACTGTTTCCGCAGTGATGTCCTTGATAGGTAGTGCTTCTGGCCATCGAGTGAAACGGTCTACGCAGGTTAAGAGATAAGAGTATCCATTTGAATCTGGTAAAGGTCCTACCCAATCCAGATGAACATGGTCGAAACGAGCGTCCGGAGTTTTGAAAGAGCCTAAGGGACATTTGTTGTGTCTGATAACCTTAGATTTTTGGCAGCTTACACAGGAGCGTGCCCACTTCCTCACGATTTATTCATGCTGGGCCAGCAAAACCATGCCGCTATAAGCTTGATGGTTGCACGAACACCTGGATGAGAGAGTTTGTGTAACGTATTGAAGACGCTGCGTCGGTAATGTTTCGGCACGATTGGTCGATCCCTAACTGGAGATGCGTCACACAGTGAGGTTTCCTTACCTTACTGAGATACTATTCGGTGCTTCGGTGTCCTGATGAGCAAGCATTAATTGTGGAGAAGGCTTTTTGTGCGGTGTCGTCCAAATGGATGGATTTCGCGTTTCTACGAAGTTGGTCGGTAGGAGGTTTCATAAGTAACGCGCATTTAGGTGTGAATCGTCCATAGAAACTTACGAGACCGTTAAACGTTCGTAATTGTTTGATCGTGGTCGGTTGTGGGAAATCCAGAATGGCCGCCACTTTAGTTCTAAGAGGTCGAATGCCTTGCGCATCTATAGTGTGTCCTAGGAAGTCTAATGAGTCAGTTCCAATTTGGCATTTCTGAATGTTTACACTAACGCCATGTTTTTTTAGTCGATCGAAAACAAGATCCAGATGCTTGGGATGTGATTCTCTGTCCTGACTTGTTATTAGACAGTCGTCAACGTACGCATGTACGAAGTTTAGACCTCGAAAAACGTCGTCTATGGACCTTTGGAAATTTTGTGCAGCTTATCTAAGACCGAAAGGCATTCGCAAAAATCCATAGAGTCCGAAGAGAGTTATGATAGCGGTTTTCGGAATGTCGTCAGTGGCCATGGGACTTTAGTTATACGCTTTAACCAAGTCGATTTTCGAAAAGACGGTTGTACCTTTCAAGGTAGCTGTCAAATCGTGAATGTGAGGCAACGGGTGACGGTCAGGAACGGTTTCCGCATTCGATCGCCGATAGTAACCAGTTGGGTGCCAATCGTTGCTGTCCTTTTTAAGGACCATGTGCAACAGAGATGCCCATGGGCTGTTTGACGGTCTTATGATACCCAAGTCTATCATGTGGTCGAATTAGTTTTTCGCCAGCCTTAACCTTTCGGGGGCTTTAGAGAATACAGGTGGTCCTGTAGTCGTGATGTGATGTGTAACGTTGCTGGTTACACACGGCAATTTCGGTTGCGATTGGTATATCCCAGAATACTTATCGAGTAGTGGTTGATAGAATGGGTCTATCGTGTGTTCAATTATGACTGGAAATAATCTGAAACCGAAAAAAGAGGCTACGCAAACAGATAAATTAGTGTTTCCGTCTACGAGCCCCCGTTTGCGCGTATCGAGGATTAAACTGTGATGCTGTAGGAGGTCCATACCAATGATTGGCATGGAAACATATGCAACAACAAAGACCCAGCGTATGGCTTTGCGTGAACCCACGTTAAGGTAAACGTACTTTTTACCGTGTGTGGCGATAGGCTTTCCGTTTGCTGCTCGTAGGTTTAAAACGGGTTCGTGAAGCTGGTCGTTATAACTCTCTGGAAGAACGCTAATTTCTGCGTCAGTGCTGACGAGGTAGTGAACTCTCGTTATCACATTTGTGACGTACAACAGATGGCTATGTTCGCCGGCTACGGTTGCCGTTAACGCGTGCCGGCTTGAACGTTTCCCGAGTTGTTTTCTGTGCCGGCCGATCTTCAGCTGGGAAAGTTCCAGGGTTTTCTGCAATTTCTGGAGGAATTTCCATACTGGTTATGATACCAGCACCAGTCGGGGTTATCAATCTTTCGTGGTCTAGAGACAGATCGCCTACGTGAAGTGCTTCTTTGTGGGGTGTGTGATCGTTTGCGGTCGTTACGAAATTTAAGATAATGTGTAAGTGTATTACATAACTCTGTAATGTCACCCTGGGTCGTTTGAGGCTTTTCTTTGACTGGAGAAACCTCGGCATTAGAAGATTTAGTGATTTCTAAGATGCAGTCGGCAGATGCAGCCAGCTCGTCTCGGGCGTTGATTTGAAACGAGACCAGCACAGCTTGCACCTGTTGAAGAAGTTTGGATAAGAAACGTTGTTTGAATAGGCCATCATCGAAGGTTCTTTGGCCGATAACCTCTCCCATTCTTTGCAACATGTCTGTCACAGAACCCTGTTGCAGGTCGATGTTATTAAGGAGTTGGTCTAACATTTGTCTATCGGTTAGGTCTCCGCGTTTAAGAATAAATCGTTTCAGTGTTTCGTAGAGTTCAGAAACATCACTTGTAAACACATTTGGTCGTACGTACCTGTTGAATTCGCGCGGTAGTGCCTTGACTACTGCGAAGAATTGTGCATGTGTCGTTCACGCCGTGCTCGTAGAAGTCGGCTTCTGCGTAGCAGAACCAGACTTCGATGTTGTCTGGCCATCAGTTGGGACGAAGGTGGGGACATAGTCTTTAGCTTAAGTACCTTGGGTGTCTGTTCAGTCATAGTGAAATATCAAGTACGAGAATGAACGAGTGAAACATATATATCTATCTAAGGATACGGAAGAAATATCAAAATGTACAAAAATTAAAATAAAGCAATGATATATAAAATCCAAGAAAGGAGCAGACTCACAGTTTGCAATTTGGCGTACCAGATCACGTCGGGCTCACCAATGAAGATGTCACAGGTATTCAGAGTTTGACATCGCTTTAACCAGTAACACCTAATATGAATCGTACCCGCCAAGTGAAATTAAAAGACAGAAGAAAGGAGGTTCGAATATATATTTTTTGGGCTATCAATATATCGAGGATCGTCTGACCTAATCTGGCTAGCGATTGCAAGGGTTGTGGAGCATGGCGTTACCAATAGTGACCCGGTGCGGATGCATGGCCGAGCGCCTCCAGCTAGATGAGTCCATTAAAACTAACGTAGTCAGCATCCAACGTCGAAAACTTACAGAGTTATTTATTTTAGGGATTTATTTACTGCTACAACCTTCAACAAACTAAGGAGGTCAGTATCAATTCTGAAGACTAACAGAATCATATACTTGAGCAATTTTCATAGCCAAAACTAATTGATTGAGAGGCATTTTACCTCCTAAGATTATTGATAAAAGTTGCGGACTTAAATTCATTTATTTTGAACATTAAACATGAGTTACATGGGACATTGGACACCTAAAGTCTCAACTTCGTTAAGCATTTAAAAAACTTATTAGTTAACATGAACCACATAAACTATCACAGTTACAGTCCTCACTTCTTCAAGAAATCAAAAGAAACAGATGTCACGTTAAAATCAGGCAAGATAAATAGGTTCAGTTCGCAGTTTTATAGTGATATTCCAAGAACCTCGATATATGTGAGTCAAGATTTATACTTCCTACATTATAATTCAAAAGATGTGGAAATTATTGAGAATGTAAGAAGGGGAATAATTCAAGGATTGAAGACTCTTAGAAAAAGGTGCGAAACTGGACCGTAAATAAATGAAAATTATGTTACATTCTCTTAGCTTTTCAACAGGCAATCATGTGTTAAAAAATACATCAGATTTACTCACCAAAAAGTCTAAAACTCGAAGAAATTCACGAAGGAGTTCTTCTGGTCATTTTAAAAATCAGAGAAACAGTACTAGTGCGCGTGACAAATGTTTGTCAATGGAAGAGAAGTCAACCTGTTCTAAGTCTCCAATAACATCCTAATTAAAAAAGTCTAGTTACTCTCACTGTTATTGTGTTGAATAAATCATACTATCTAACCAGAAATGTTTTGAAAATTTTCACGCATACTTAGTCAAACCGGAATGTAGAAGCTTTTTGTTAACATTAGTATAATATGAAGCAGTAATGCTTCAGGTGGTCACTAGAAGTAAATCCTAGTAAGAGTGTAGTGATCCAGTTAAATAACTCTGATGAATCGTATGACTATACACTACGTGGATTCGTGCTACCCAAAGCAAGAAACTATAAAGACTTAGGAGTTATATTAAGCAATGATCTCAAAACGACTAGTCACTGTAAGGCTGCTGCTGCAAAAGGCTATAGGGTATTATGGTCAATTCGTAGGTCTTTTCAGTATTTAGATGATGAAATGTTTGGATTACTATACCCGATTTATGTGCGATCACATTTAGAATACGGGATTCAAGCAGCGAGTGCTTGTTTCAAATATGAAGCAGATATGCTAGAAAGAGTCCAACGACGAGCTACTAAGATGGTACAAGGTCTAGCTGGCCTATCTTATGAAGACAGACTGAGACACCTTAACTTATTTCCGTTATCTTACCGTAGAATAAGGGGTGATCTAATATTGGCCTATCGTATACTGAACGATGACCTTGGTATTAACATGTCTTATCTTTTGCTTCCGTCTAGAACCGATCATTTGAGAGGACATTCGAAGAAAGTTCAAAAACCGAGACCAAACCGTTTACGTCTGGAGTTCCGTTTCTCGTACCGAGTAGTGAATTGCTGGAATTCCCTACCGGAACACGTAATATCAGCACCGTCTGTTAATATATTCAAAACGAAATTGGACCTCCACAGTATTACAAACTGCAAGGATTAATATAGGTCGACAGACCTCCTATCCTTATTACTGAAGACTGAAGACTGTAAGCCATGAAACAGTACATCCGTCACTGTTTGGGTGAAAATTTACTTTATTATCCAAAAAAATATTGGAACGTCCTTCACTTTTTAGTACGAATAGAAACAACAGCTTAACTATCGTAGCAACTGTTTTAGTAGATAAGTAGTGACATTTCGTGGAAGCAACCTTATTATGGACATTGGAAACCACTGATTGTTTCTGCCTGATTTATTTTGAGACTAAATATCACAAAATGCATAAGTCAAAGGAGTTAGTATCAGGTACGGGCTTTACATTCCTCAATTACTAACACTTGACAGATAACATTAAACATTATTAAAATGTGTTTTCAACCTGTCTTCGTCTGAGACTTCTCCGATTTCCCGGTTCTCCAAGGTGAAACCAATAACAACACCTTCTATCAAGAATGTTTTTGGATAAGGTAATACGATATTTGAAGATCCGAAAGCGTGTGTTAACGAAAATAGTAAAGTTTTAACCACTCTAATATTGGCATTAGTCGAATCTGCGCTGATAAGAATATTGAACCAGTTGCCCTCTAGTTTTCCCAGAAGTAGTTAATGTTGTTTTGATTTACCGTTTCTTGACTGAACTGTTTCGAGATTTCCTATTGGTCCTGCACTCGACGAACAAGGAAACTCCCATCTCTCTTTTATTCGATAATAATTCTCAAGATTTTTAAAGCGAGTCCTAGAATTGAAAGTCACACTAGAATATGAATTATTCTTTAAACCATCAGAAAGTCAGTTAGACATTGTTTTTTTAGCAGAATTTACGAATAAAGTCCGATCCCGTCAAATAAAAGTAGTCACAATTTTTATCCATCAGCCTAATATGTACATAATACATAGAAATAGTATGGGTAGTTTTTCGGTGAATAGCTAATACGTTTACTCTATAGTCAAATATTTCATGTTTTGTCCACATCTGTTATAACGAATCAATACAATTTCAGACGTCTTACCTCAAATTTGAGTTCTTGATTGTGTCTTGCCCATGTTTCAGCAAACTGAAAAGATTACTAACCTGCCACTTTCCCGCAACATCGTTTAAAACATATAAAAGAGGATGGTTCAATAAATTACATTGTGTTCTAAATAAGACTGTCAGAGACTTCCTACTTCAGCTCCATACATAAGCTGCTAAGTGCGATTTTGGTGGATAGCTGCATATCCAACTTCGTAACCGTCTGATTTCCGGTATAGATTATCCGAGACTAGAAAAGCACCGCCGAGATAGCTATAGACTATGGTTTTATTCATGAACATGTCGATAAAGATTCTCATGGTGCTACGGCAAAACAACACGATATCTTATTATCGAATGTAAATAAACGTATTAATCTACAGGAACCCCAGACCTTCTAACGAAAACTGTTTCAATCATTCCGACAAGTAATTCGAAAAGCACATTTTATTCATCTTTGGCCATTACATTCTGTCTCTCGTGTTGTAATCTATGTTAATCTCATTGTGCACGTTGCCATAAATGTTGGACGTTTGGACATCTATTAGGGGTTTGTAAACGTTTCATGTCATCCACCACTAAAATTCTAAATGACTATGAATAAAAACTAACTGATTTGACCGGAAGAATGGACTTAATATCGCTCAATGCTGCCTGCATCAGTAATTTACACTTCACGCTAAAACTTATTGCAAACACAGACTGGTCTAATTCATTTTTTGTTGATACTGATAGCATGGAGTCAATTATTTCTAAAAGAAATTGATTGTTTCCTCGTGATGATGTCTGTTTGTGACCTACAAGCAGTGGGATCATTGAAACCGTTGGAAATCGTTACCCATTATTGGTACAGTTAATATTCCATTGAGGAACGAAGAGGGTAGATGTGCCAATATTCCTTTGCTAGTTAGTATGGTTCATCTGTGTCTATGTTAAGGGGTTTAAGATCGCTGAGCGTACATATTTCTTTATGTTCCAATTCTTCTGACAGTACTTAGTCAAAGACTAAGTCTTACAATCCTCAAAGGCCGTGAAAGATAAGAAAATTCACCCAGTACAGTTAGAGGTGAAGAGAAAACCCATCTTCTTGAAGTGCAGACTAAATCCATATAGTTTAAGAGAGGTTAGTGAAGAATGAGCTAGGTAGACTGGTTGGAAAAAGGATAAATAGTCCAGACTGAGCCATTGTATCGGGCTGCTTTCATCGTGACCATATTAAAGCCGAACAGAACTCACCTCAAATTTATGGTGATTACCACCTGACAATGATTATTCGTCTATTGCAACAGAGTTGTACAACCGAAGAAATTGAAAATATTTTACATAAGTTACGGGGATCAAGGTGTTTTTCTAAGATTGACCTGAAAGATGCGTATTCGCGAATTTAATTTAATGGAATCTCTAGTGAACTAACTACCATTAATACACCGTTTTGATACAAATTCCTACGGTCTAGATTGAATGTTTCGCCCTCAATATTCCATAAGGTTATAAATGGTGTTGGAAAGCATCCAGATGATATTGTAGCTTGCGCTCAAAATGTTGGGTTGCATAACGAACGTCTTTTAAAGTCATTTAGATGCTTTTGTGATACGAAAATTCTCGTAAACCTATTCAAATTTTAGTCTTAACTTAATCCAACCAAGTACCTAAGCTGTAATGTAGATGTTAAGTGTTTTGAACCTGATATGAATCACCTAGCTCCATCAATTCAAGTACCGTCACCTAAGAATATCTCGGCCCTCAGATCATCGATTGGTGCCCTTCAGTTTTATTCCAGATTTATTCATAACTTCACACAAACATTATCTCCACCCTTCGACTTGGTTTCTAATCAAGGGTTTATTTGAGAATAAAAACAAGAGGTTATACTGAGAAACATCTTACAATTCTCAAATAGTGAGATTTTTTCAACCGCTTTTGCCAAATGACAGACCTATCCTCACTACATATTGATCCCCATTGAGATTAAGTGCGGTTCTAGAGCAGAATGAGAAGGCTGTCACTTATATTTAAGCCGGATGGAACAAGGGTATTCTCAAACCCTAAAGGAGGCTTAGGCTCTGATATGGTCAGTAAAGCGAGTGCACAAATACCTGTTTGGTGCATTTTATTTATTTATTTATTTAAACAGATAAGCACTGGTACAAGGAGGCACCAAATATATATGCGCCACACAAATCAAATGATTTGTGCGAGCGCTGGAATACTACTTAGGAGCCCAAACCGAAGCAGGTTTTGTGTAACTGATCACTAAGCGTTAAAGTTTATTTATCATTGAACTAAATCACCTCATTGATCCCCTGCTGTCATGGTCTAGAGATGGAATTTGTAATTGAGTGCTTATGTTTTCGGCATTAAGCACTAAGTGGCCTGAAACATACCACACGCATATTTTCTATCACGCTATTTACGTTTTGAAAGGTTACTTAACAAAAGCGATTATATTTTGGTTCAACCATTGGCTACTGATATAGTAGAACTTACAAAGGATATTAGTAAGTAATTTGGAACTTTCATAAGTACAGTGAAGAGAGGTTGGAATGTTCAGTACAAGCGTATGTTTCTTACGTTTTTAAAAAGGAGAGGAAACATATTACTACATCCTGAAGTTCATTTGTACTTCATCGATAGAACAATCATTCCCCACGCTCAGATCTGCAGTATTAGACGACCTTCATTCTGCCCATCTCAGAGCAGAGAGGATGAAATCACTTGCTCATTAGACTTGCTGGTGGCCTGAGATTGACTCTGATATAAATTGAAAATCGAAAATCTCTCCTGCTTGTTTACATAAGCTTTCGTATAACAGAACTACTCGGAATCATTGGTCTACATTTTATGAATAGTGACAACGTGTTCATGAGGATTACTGTGGTCCATTTTTAAACGCATGTTATGTTTTAATTACTTTTGAGTCATATTCCGAATAGTCAGAAGTGGTACTCGCGAACAGTCCTAGTGAACACTTCACTCAAAGAGCGATGGGAAAGATATTTAGTTGTGAAGGAATATCCAATGCATTGTAGTGTCGGTTACTACGTTAAGCCCATATACCTTATTCTAGCTTCTGGACAAGTCATTTTATTCATTATCCTCGAGTCACGTTTTGACCATGTTAATTATTTACTTATCAACCCTGAGTTTTTTATGTGAGCGTATGTGTAT